TTCAGTTCTAGTTCAGTTCTAGTTCAGTTCTAGTTCAGTTCTAGTTCAGTTCTAGTTCAGTTCTAGTTCAGTTCTAGTTCAGTTCTAGTTCAGTTCTAGTTCAGTTCAGTTCAGTTCTAATTCAGTTCTAGTTCAGTTCAGTTATAGTTCTAGTTCTAGTTCAGTTCTAGTTCAGTTCTAGTTCACTTATAGTTCAGTTCTAGTTCAGTTCTGTTCAGTTCTAGTTCAGTTCTAGTCAGTTCTAGTTCAGTTCTAGTTCAGTTCTTTTAGTTCTAGTTCAGTTTTCTAGTTCAGTTCTAGTTCAGTTCAGTTCAGTTCTAGTTCAGTTCTAGTTCAGTTCTAGTTCAGTTCTAGTTCAGTTCTAGTTCAGTTCTAGTTCAGTTCTAGTTCAGTTCTAGTTCAGTTCTAGTTCATTTCTAGTTCAGTTCTAGTTCAGTTCTAGTTCAGTTCTAGTTCAGTTCTAGTTCAGTTCTAGTTCAGTTCTAGTTCAGTTCTAGTTCAGTTCTAGTTCAGTTCTAGTTCAGTTCTAGTTCAGTTCTAGTTCAGTTCAGTTCTAGTTCAGTTCTAGTTCAGTTCAGTTCTAGTTCAGTTCAGTTCTAGTTCAGTTCTAGTTCAGTTCTAGTTCAGTTCTAGTTCAGTTCTAGTTCAGTTCTAGTTCAGTTCTAGTTCAGTTCTAGTTCAGTTCTAGTTCAGTTCTAGTTCAGTTCTAGTTCAGTTCTAGTTCAGTTCTAGTTCAGTTCTAGTTCAGTTCTAGTTCAGTTCTAGTTCAGTTCTAGTTCAGTTCTAGTTCAGTTCTAGTTCAGTTCTAGTTCAGTTCTAGTTCAGTTCTAGTTCAGTTCTAGTTCAGTTCTAGTCAGTTCTAGTTTTGGTTCAGAAAATAAAAAACTGTAACTGAGTTCGGTTAATATACAGACTTCTCATATTAAAATATTTTCTATACCAAATTATAATTACAGAAACAAATTAAAGAAATTTCTAATTTGAAATTTTCCATTAAAATTATCTTTTCTTAACTATTTCTATTATTCAGTTATGACAAATTTAAAGGTTTGTTTTATGATTTACGATCACTTTTTTACTTCTTAAAGGCAAGCTGGGTGAAGAAATTTGTTCAAGAACTGTTAGAAATTCAGTTGAAAACTATTCGATTTTGGAAAATACAAACGTCAAGTTTTAAAAAACAATGCAGTTGTTTTTAGTGACAGTAGCAATATTAGCCTGTTGTCATAGCATTAGGGCACAAAAGTGTTAGTTTTTTTAAATATCTTTATTATATATCAATAGAAAGGAAATGTAAGATACTTTTTTTATTTTATTTTTAGCTGACAGTAAACTAGGTTCATACAAATGTGATCAATTATACTATTCGGGTAAGTTTTTTTTACTAAAACTGACTGTTGAAATTTTATATATATTTTCTGAAATATTACTTTAAAAAATATTTCCAGGCTTTCCTAATATATGCAAAAATAAAAAATATTTTTTCTTTAGTGAATTATGCGACTTTGAATGCAATAATCAGGGAGAGCTAATGTTGGTTTAGAAATAGTAATAGTAAATCGATTAAACTATATGTATATTTCTTTTACATTTTTAGAACGAAAGATTGTAGATGCACCATTTTTAAAAATCCCGATGAATTTTTATGTGAGGATTTGTACTGTGATTCGGGTAAAACTACAACACCCTCTAGAATATAGACTTTGATTCAATTAAGATATGGAATTCTCTGCTTCCACAAAATGATTGAAATCGATATTGCAGTTTTACTTAAAAAGTTAACATAGAAAATTATTTTAATCCACATATATTTAAAGCATATGTATAACATCTAATAGAATCTAAGTGCAAGGTATAAAAAACATATAAAAAAATTTTTTCACAAAAACATTTTTTTCTTAAACAAAATGGAATTTTTTTTGTATTATATCAAAAACGCAATATTAATAATATAATGTCATTAAAAAATAATTGTAAATCATCTCAAAGTTTAAAAATAGTTTTCTAAATCAAATGACACTCACTTTGGGTCAAACAATTAAATTGATTTGAATAATAATAATAATAAATAACAAGAAGATATAACACATATTCCAGACAAATAATAAAAACCCACTAAGGAAATTCATAACAAATTAAGCTAAAGTTGGAAATATGCGGTAAAGATGGACAAAAAAACACCATACAGTTCAAACATTATAAAATAGACCAGACTGTATCCCACAGACTAGAACTGAACTAAAACTGAACTAGAATTGAACTAGAACTGAACTAGAACTGAACTAGAACTGAACTAGAACTGAACTAGAACTGAACTAGAACTGAACTGAACTAGAACTGAACTAGAACTGAACTAGAACTGAACTAGAACTGAACTAGAACTGAACTAGAACTGAACTAGAACTGAACTAGAACTGAACTAGAACTGAACTAGAACTGAACTAGAACTGAACTAGAACTGAACTAGAACTGAACTAGAACTGAACTAGAACTGAACTAGAACTGAACTAGAACTGAACTAGAACTGAACTAGAACTGAACTAGAACTGATCTAGAACTGAACTAGAACTGAACTAGAACTGAACTAGAACTGAACTAGAACTGAACTAGAACTGAACTAGAACTGAACTAGAACTGAACTAGAACTGAACCAGAACTGAACTAGAACTGAACTAGAACTGAACTAGAACTAAACTAGAACTAGAACTGAACTAGAACTAGAACTGAACTAGAACTGAAATAGAACTGAACTAGAACTGAACTAGAACTGAACTAGAACTGAACCAGAACTGAACTAGAACTGAACTAGAACTGAACTAGAACTAGAACTAGAACTAGAACTGAACTAGAACTAGAACTGAACTAGAACTGAACTAGAACTGAACTAGAACTGAACTAGAACTGAACTAGAACTGAACTAGAACTGAACTAGAACTGAACTAGAACTGAACTAGAACTGAACTAGAACTGAACTAGAACTGAACTAGAACTGAACTAGAACTGAACTAGAACTGAACTAGAACTGAACTAGAACTGAACTAGAACTGAACTAGAACTGAACTAGAACTGAACTAGAACTGAACTAGTACTGAACTAGAACTGAACTAGAACTGAACTAGAACTGAACTAAAACTGAACTAGAACTGAACTAAAACTGAACTAGAACTGAACTAGAACTGAACTGAACTAGAACTGAACTAGAACTGAACTAGAACTGAACTAGAACTGAACTAGAACTGAACTAGAACTGAACAAGAACTGAACTAGAACTGAACTAGAACTGAACTAGAACTGAACTACAACTGAACTAGAACTGAACTAGAACTAGAACAGAACTAGAACAGAACTAGAACAGAACTAGAACAGAACTAGAACAGAACTAGAACAGAACTAGAACAGAACTAGAACAGAACTAGAACAGAACTAGAACAGAACTAGAACAGAACTAGAACAGAACTAGAACAGAACTAGAACAGAACTAGAACAGAACTAGAACAGAACTAGAACAGAACTAGAACAGAACTAGAACAGAACTAGAACAGAACTAGAACAGAACTAGAACAGAACTAGAACAGAACTAGAACAGAACTAGAACAGAACTAGAACAGAACTAGAACAGAACTAGAACAGAACTAGAACAGAACTAGAACAGAACTAGAACAGAACTAGAACAGAACTAGAACAGAACTAGAACAGAACTAGAACAGAACTAGAACAGAACTAGAACAGAACTAGAACAGAACTAGAACAGAACTAGAACAGAACTAGAACAGAACTAGAACAGAACTAGAACAGAACTAGAACAGAACTAGAACAGAACTAGAACAGAACTAGAACAGAACTAGAACAGAACTAGAACAGAACTAGAACTAACTAGAACATGAACTAGAACAGAACTAGAACAGAACTAGAACAGAACTAGAACAGAACTAGAACAGAACTAGAACAGAACTAGAACAGAACTAGAACAGAACTAGAACAGAACTAGAACAGAACTAGAACAGAACTAGAACAGAACTAGAACAGAACTAGAACAGAACTAGAACAGAACTAGAACAGAACTAGAACAGAACTAGAACAGAACTAGAACAGAACTAGAACAGAACTAGAACAGAACTAGAACAGAACTAGAACAGAACTAGAATTGAACTAGAACTGAACTAGTACTGAACTAGAACTACAACTGAACTAGAACTGAACTAGAACTGAACTAGAACTGAACTAGATCTGAACTAGAACTGAACTAGAACTGAACTAGACCTGAACTAGAACTGAACTAGAACCGAACTTGGACTGAACTAGATCTGAACTAGAACTAAACAGGAACTACTCCAGACTTTACTATAGCTTAGACTATGGTCTCTATTATAAGTTTATACTATAGTTTACCTATAGTAGCGTGTCGTTGTTTATAAATTCCTTAGGGATCCAAACAATAACAACTAAACTTTTCAAAGGTGTCAAGATTTTATCTTGAGTCTTTTCAATACAATGGCGTTATATAGTATATTTTTGCTCGCAAAAAAAGAAAACATTGTAATCGCATTAAAGCTAAATTTGTGTACAATTATTATCAATTGACGACAATTTACAGTTGAGGAAAAAATGTAAAGAAGAAGAGCATAACAAAAGAAAGCAAAAAAAAAAAAACAAACGAAAAGAGATGGGTTAAGAAAACGAGGGTGTCGAGTAAAGTTTGCGAAGTAAAAAGTAACGGAAAAACAGATTTTAAAACTAAAACTTTCTAGAGATTAAATACTGAAAGAAGAAATGGGATTTTTCCTTAAATTTTACTATATCCTTTTAACTTTGAGATATCTGTAGGGAGTTTTGTGTATAAAGTTAGGGTGTCTAAGAAATCGTGTTTGCCTATAGTGGTTATCTGACGTTTATGCTTTAAATCTCGTTTGAGAAGAGAGTTTGAGAGCAAAATCTTTAGTTTAACTTTTTATTTATTTGATTTATCTGTTCTATGTTTGAAAACTGTCTCTGATAATTTCAGATAGTTTTTTTTTCGCGCTTAGTCCTCTTAGTAGACTTTCTAGAAGCGGTAGTGTTCTAAACGTTCGAAGTAAAGTGCGGTAGTTTTGTTTGCAAATAAAAAAAGGCGTTAATTTCTTGCGATTTTAAATTTCAATTTGAAATTTTCAATAACTGAGCAATATGATTTAAATGCTATGAAAAAACGAAAATGGAAATATTTTATCAAAAATCTTTATGGAAAATAATACGTTTATTAATCATTTTATTTATATTCTATAGTCATTTAATAGAGGCTGGTGGGTATAATAAGTGATAAAAGAATAAAAATATTGAAAAGGGAAAAAAATGCTTAAAAGGCAAAAAGTTCTATGTGCTTTTTTGAAAACTTTTAAAACTACAGAAATTTTTACAGAAAATCTTGTCATTCAATTTGGAATTAGCAGAGCAAATCCTGTAAAACACAATTTTTTTCAAAAATTCCACATAGTCCTTTTTAGCCATCAAGGTGTTATAATATAAAATACATTAAATTTGATATCCCCTCTTATAATATTTCCATCTTTTTTCAATCTCTTTTTGATCTGCCTGTATTTCTTCCTTGATGCCCGGGTTATAATTTCATTTTACACACAAAACGTGCCATTATAAATATTGTACAATTTATATGCAATTGCTGTTGTTGCCTTGTTGCAATTGCTGTTTTTTGCTGCCTGCCGTTACTCCTCTAACAACAATTGGTATCAAATTTTGGCTTTTGGCATTATAACTACCAACAACAACAACAACGCCATCAAACTACCACTTGTACTGCCGACATAAACAATTTCCATTACCATTTAGGTTGGAGTTCTCAATGTTGGAAAAAACATAATTCCGGTTCAATACAAACGCCCGATGGTGAATTTCGACGCCCATTTGGTATTTTATGTACATATCAGTGTTTTTTGTGGTTTCAGCCAGTGTAAGTTAGATTTTTATTTTGTTTGTGTGTGTGTGTGTTTAGTAGTTTATTGTGGTATTTGTTTTTTTATGGAAAAGTTAAAAGGAAGTGCAAGCTAAAGTTTTAACCCTAGAACTGAACTAGAACAGAACTAGAACAGAACTAGAACAGAACTAGAACAGAACTAGAACAGAACTAGAACAGAACTAGAACAGAACTAGAACTGAACTAGAACTGAACTAGAACTGAACTAGAACAGAACAGAACTAGAACAGAACTATAACAGAACTAGAACAGAACTAGAACAGAACTAGAACAGAACTAGAACAGAACTAGAACAGAACTAGAACAGAACTAGAACAGAACTAGAACAGAACTAGAACAGAACTAGAACAGAACTAGAACAGAACTAGAACAGAACTAGAACAGACTAGAACAGAACTAGAACAGAACTAGAACAGAACTAGAACAGAACTAGAACAGAACTAGAACAGAACTAGAACAGAACTAGAACAGAACTAGAACAGAACTAGAAAGAACTAGAAAAGAACTAGAACAGAACTAGAACAGAACTAGAACAGAACTAGAACAGAACTAGAACTGAACTAGAACAGAACAGAACTAGAACAGAACTAGAACAGAACTAGAACAGAACTAGAACAGAACTAGAACAGAACTAGAACAGAACTAGAACAGAACTAGAACTGAACTAGAACTGAACTAGAACTGAACTAGAACATAACTAGAACAGAACTAGAACAGGACTAGAACAGAACTAGAACAGAACTAGAACAGAACTAGAACAGAACTAGAACAGAACTAGAACAGAACTAGAACAGAACTAGAACAGAACTAGACAGAACAGAACTAGAACAGAACTAGAACAGAACTAGAACAGAACTAGAACAGAACTAGAACAGAACTAGAACAGAACTAGAACAGAACTAGAACAGAACTAGAACAGAACTAGAACAGACCTAGAACAGAACTAGAACACAACTAGAACAGAACTAGAACAGAACTAGAACAGAACTAGAACAGAACTAGAACAGAACTAGAACAGAACTAGTACAGAACAGAACTAGAACAGAACAAGAACAAAACTAGAACTGAACTATAACTGTCAATAGATCATTCTTGAAATCTTTATATATCTATGGATCACTCTACAATATTCCAGTATAAAGATCACTCTATAGAGCAGTCTGTATATCACTCTATAGAATACATCAGTTCGTAGAATAATCTAGAGATCACCCGATTGATCAGTTTATAGAATAGTCTTAGATCACTTCATAGGCCAGTCTATAGATCAGTTTATTAACTAGTGTTGAAATCAATATATTACCCAGACATCAGATCACTTTAAAGACTAGGTATATATCACTTAATAAACCATTTTACAATCTCTGTAGATATGTCTTCAGATCACTTTATAGACCAGTCTGTAGAGTGTATAAATCACTGTAGACCTGTCTGCAGATTACTTTGTAGAACAGTCTATAGATCAGTCTGTAGACGATTCTGTTGTTTAGTCTATAAACCTGAAAGGACACGGAAAAGTTGTAGGCTTTTCCGTGTCGTTTCTTTATTCCTATCGAAACATTTGCGTTTGTTTTGAATAAATGAATATATTTTGTCTGTGCGTACTAAATTGTTCAAGTACTAAATATTTTAGTTTACTACTTTTTTTCGTTTTTTTTTTTTCTTTTTATGGTTTTTATTTTTATTGTAAAGTGTAGTTATTTTTTTGTGTTAGATTAAATGTTTTTCATTTTGCTAACTTTTCAATTATGTTGTTATTTTACAAAAAGAAAGAAATAAACCGAAATAAAACAATTTTATACGTTTTGCGTACTTTTTTGTTGTGGCGCAAATATAGTTTTATCAAACAACATTTTGTTTGAATGGATTAACAAAGAACAATTTAGTTTATGCATTTCTTTTAATAAACGTGCCGCGAATTTTCATAGAAAAAAATATTTTTAAATATACATAAATAATTTCTTTTTACAACAATTTTTTACTGATTGATCATTCAATGAGGGGCTTAAATTTGAAATAAAATACAAAGGTTGCGTACATTTCCTATTAAGGGGCTAAACGTTAGTTGGAAAACTGTTTTTAAATAAATAAATTTAAAGAATTTCTAAAAATTACCAAAATAGTACAGAAAAAGTACTTTTTGATAAATTTATAGACTAGACTATAGAATAGACTATAGACTAGACTATACACTGGACTATAGGCTAGACTATAGACTAGACTATGGACTAGACTATAGACTAGACTATAGACTAGACTATATACTAGACTATAGACTAGACTATAGAATAGACTATAGACTAGACTATAGACATGACTATAGACTAGAGTATAGACTAGACTAGACTAGAGACTAGACTATAGACTAGACTATAGACTAGACTATAGACTAGACTATAGACTAGACTATAGACTAGACTATAGACTAGACTATAGACTAGACTATAGACTAGACTATAGACTAGACTATAGACTAGACTATAGACTAGACTATAGACTAGACTATAGACTAGACTATAGACTAGACTATAGACTAGACTATAGACTAGACTATAGACTAGACTATAGACTAGACTATAGACTAGACTATAGACTAGACTATAGACTAGACTATAGACTAGACTATAGACTAGACTATAGACTAGACTATAGACTAAACTATAGACTAGACTATAGACTAGACTATAGACTAGACCATAGACTAGACTATAGACTAGACTATAGAATAGACCATAGACTAGACTACAGACTGGACTATAGACTAGACTATAGACTAGACTATAGGCTAGACTAGACTATAGACTAGACTATAGACTAGACTACAGACTAGACTAGACTATAGACTAGACTAGACTAGACTAGACTATAGACTAGACTATAGACTAGACTATAGACTAGACTATAGACTAGACTATAGACTAGACTATAGACTAGACTATAGACTAGACTAGACTATAGACTAGACTATAGACTAGACTATAGACTAGACTATAGACTAGACTATAGACTAGACTATAGACTAGACTATAGACTAGACTATAGACTAGACTATAGACTAGACTATAGACTAGACTATAGACTAGACTATAGACTAGACTAGACTATAGACTAGACTATAGACTAGACTATAGACTAGACTATAGACTAGACTATAGACTAGACTATAGACTAGACTATAGACTAGACTATAGACTAGAGTATAGACTAGACTATAGACTAGACTATAGACTAGACTATAGACTAGACTATAGACTAGACTATAGACTAGACTATAGACTAGACTATAGACTAGACTATAGACTATACTATAGACTAGACTATAGACTAGACTATAGACTAGACTATAGACTAGATTATAGACTAGACTATAGACTAGACTAGACTAGACTAGACTATAGACTAGACTATAGACTATAAACTAGACTATAGACTAGACTATAGACTAGACTATAGACTAGACTATAGACTAGACTATAGACTAGACTATAGACTAGACTATAGACTAGACTATAGACTAGACTATAGACTAGACTATAGACTAGACTATAGACTAGACTATAGACTAGACTATAGACTAGACTATAGACTAGACTATAGACTAGACTATAGACTAGACTATAGACTAGACTATAGACTAGACTATAGACTAGACTATAGACTAGACTATAGACTAGACTATAGACTAGACTATAGACTAGACTATAGACTAGACTATAGACTAGACTATAGACTAGACTATAGACTAGACTATAGACTAGACTATAGACTAGACTATAGACTAGACTATAGACTAGACTATAGACTAGACTAGACTAGACTAGACTAGACTAGACTAGACTAGACTAGACTAGACTAGACTAGACTAGACTAGACTAGACTAGACTAGACTAGACTAGACTAGACTAGACTAGACTATAGACTAGACTAGACTAGACTATAGACTAGACTATAGACTAGACTATAGACTAGACTATAGACTAGACTATAGACTAGACTATAGACTAGACTATAGACTAGACTATAGACTAGACTATAGACTAGACTATAGACTAGACTATAGACTAGACTATAGACTATAGACTAGACTATAGACTAGACTATAGACTAGACTATAGACTAGACTATAGACTAGACTATAGACTAGACTATAGACTAGACTATAGACTAGACTATAGACTAGACTATAGACTAGACTAGACTAGACTATAGACTAGACTATAGACTAGACTATAGACTAGACTATAGACTAGACTATAGACTAGACTATAGACTAGACTATAGACTAGACTAGACTATAGACTAGACTATAGACTAGACTATAAACTAGACTATAGACTAGACTATAGACTAGACTATAGACTAGACTATAAACTAGACTATAGACTAGACTAGACTATATACAAGACTGTAGACGAGACTTTAGACTAGACTATAGGCCAGACTATAGACTAGACCATAAACGAGACTATAGACTAGACTGTAGACGAAATTATAGACTAGATTATAAAGCAGACTATAGGCTTGACTATAGCCTGGAAAACGAATACTTATTTACCAGTTTCAGTTACTAATCAGTTACCCAAGTAGCGGTTTTACTATTAATCAATTAACCGGTTAACGATTATTCGTTTTAGAATTTTCTTTTAATATTAGCACTTTTTCTCTTTTCAGCTTCCCCTACTGTGAATTCATATTTGATTTAAGAATGTCTCGTCACTTTACTACTTTACCCGATTGCTATGAAATCCATTGCAATGAAACCTTTACATTTTTCAGCGATCCCAAGTGAAAATAATCATTTCTTTTTTCTCTATGTTTAATACTCAAACTAAAGCAAAACCAACATGCATATAATCGACATATAAATTTTAGTGTTTAAATTAAATAAACAAATAAATATTAAATAAAATTTAATTAAAAAACATTGCGTATATATTTTTTTTTTTTTTGAATAAAACATGTTGAAGCCAACTACAGCACACAGTGTTATAGCAGCCAGTTAAAGTAGCATAATAAATGAACCATAAAATTGCAGTTTTTTTCGTTTGACAGTGGCGCAGCCAATTTCACACTCAACGGTTAAGTCCAGGTCATGTTTGTTTGTTTGTTTACGGCAATATAGTGGGAAAGAACAAAAAGCTTAAATTGCTCAAAAGCTAATGACCTGATTTTCAATTTAGCAACAAAATGCAAAGCATTACCAGCAAAGTGTTTATTTTATTTGAGAATCAAACTTAAATGGCCTTCAATGATCAATGTCACTTGTTTTAAATTGCTCGGGTAACACAAAGAAAACAATCACAATCACACTCACAAATCTAGATAAAAAGCTGTAAAAAAGTCATAATATTAAATCAAATAAATGTGCAACAGCCACCGAATTTTTAGGGGAGGGTTTAGCAGATATCCATCAACGCTTTTTTTCCAGTTTTTAAAAAGCAAAAGTGTTGAATAGTTTTCTTTTCTTCTTTGTTTTCAAATTTCAATTTCATTTCGGTTGTTGCAAAAAAATATGCAAATGTTTTCGTTGACAGCTTTAAGTGAGAATTGTTTTTTTAGTATTGAGTCAAACCATCACTTGGACCATAAAATGCAAATGTTAGCAACAAATACCCTTGGCAAGGACGATGGGTTAGACTTTAGACGAGCTGCTAATTGAAAATTAACAAATCAAAGGAAGATAGAAAAATAATACAATTTAAGGACTATAAAGACTAGACTATGGACAAGACCACAAATAAAACTACCGACTAAACTATAGACTAGACTATAGACTAGACTTTAGACTAGACTATAGACTAGACTATAGACTAGACTTTAGACTAGACTATAGACTAGACTATAGACTAGACTATAGACTAGACTATAGACTAGACTATAGACTAGACCATAGACTAGACTGTAGACTAGACTATAGACTAGACTATAGACTAGACTATAGACTAGACTATAGACTAGACTATAGACTAGACTATAGACTAGACTATAGACTAGACTATAGACTAGACTATAGACTAGACTATAGACTAGACTATAGACTAGACTATAGACTAGACTATAGACTAGACTATAGACTAGACTATAGACTAGACTATAGACTAGACTATAGACTAGACTATAGACTAGACTATAGACTAGAATATAGACTAGACTTAGACTAGACTAGACTATAGACTAGACTAGACTATAGACTAGACTATAGACTAGACTATAGACTAGACTAGACTATAGACTAGACTATAGACTAGACTATAGACTAGACTATAGACTAGACTAACTATACGACTAGACTAAGACCTAGACTATAGACTAGACTATAGACTAGACTATAGCCTAGACATAGACTAGACTAATAGTACTAGACTATAGACTAGACTATAGACTAGACTATAGACTAGACTATAGACTAGACGTATAGACTAGACTATAGACTAGACTATAGACTAGACTATAGACTAGACTATAGACTAGACTATAGACTAGACTAGAGACTAGACTATAGACTAGACGATAGACTAGACTATAGACTAGACTATAGACTACTATAGACTAGACTATAGACTAGACTATAGACTAGACTATAGACTAGACTATAGACTAGACTATAGACTAGACTATAGACTAGACTATAGACTAGACTATATAGACTTAACTAGAGACTAGACTATAGACTAGACTATAGACTAGACTATAGACTAGACTATAGACTAGACTATAGACTAGACTATAGACTAGACTATAGACTAGACTATAGACTAGACTATAGACTAGACTATAGACTAGACTATAGACTAGACTATAGACTAGACTATAGACTAGACTATAGACTAGACTATAGACTAGACTATAGACTAGACTATAGACTAGACTATAGACTAGACTATAGACTAGACTATAGACTAGACTATAGACTAGACTATAGACTAGACTATAGACTAGAGACTATAGACTAGACTATAGACTAGACTATAGACTAGACTATAGACTAGACTATAGACTAGACTATAGACTAGACTATAGACTAGACTATAGACTAGACTATAGACTAGACTATAGACTAGACTATAGACTAGACTATAGACTAGACTATAGACTAGACTAGAGACTAGACTATAGACTAGACTATAGACTAGACTAGACTAGACTATAGACTAGACTATAGACTAGACTATAAACTAGACTATAGACTAGACTATAGACTAGACTATAGACTAGACTATAGACTAGACTATAGACTAGACTATAGACTAGACTATAGATAGACTAAGACTAGACTAGAGACTAGACTAATCGACCTAGACTATAGACTAGACTTATAGACTAGACGATAGACTAGGACTATAGACTAGACTATAGACTAGACTATAGACTAGACTTGACTAGACTAGGGACTAGACTATAGACTAGACTATAGACTAGACTATAACTAGACTATAGACTAGATATAGACTAGACTAGGACTAGACTTGACTAGACTATAGACTAGACTATAGACTAGACTATAGACTAGACTATAGACTAGACTATAGACCTAGACTATAGACTAGACTATAGACTAGACTATAGACTAGACTATAGACTAGACTATAGACTAGACTATAGACTAGACTATAGACTGAGACTATAGACTAGACTATAGACTAGACTATAGACTAGACTATAGACTAGACTATAGAACTAGACTTAGACTAGACTATAGACTAGACATAGACTAGACTATAGACTAGACTATAGACTAGACTATAGACTAGACTATAGACTAGACTATAGACTAGACTATAGACTAGACTATAGATAGACTATAACTACTATAGACTAGACTATAGACTAGACTATAGACTAGACTATAGACTAGACTATAGACTATACTATAGACTAGACTATAGACTAGACTTTAGACTAAACTATAGACTAGACTATAGACTAGACTATAGACTAGACTATAGACTAGACTATAGACTAGACTATAGACTAGACTATAGACTAGACTATAGACTAGACTATAGACTAGACTATAGACTAGACTATAGACTAGACTATAGACTAGACTATAGACTAGACTATAGACTAGACTATAGACTAGACTATAGACTAGACTATAGACTAGACTATAGACTAGACTATAGACTAGACTATAGACTAGACTATAGACTAGACTATAGACTAGACTATAGACTAGACTATAGACTAGACTATAGACTAGACTATAGACTAGACTATAGACTAGACTATAGACTAGACTATAGACTAGACTATAGACTAGACTATAGACTAGACTATAGACTAGACTATAGACTAGACTATAGACTAGACTATAGACTAGACTATAGACTAGACTATAGACTAGACTATAGACTAGACTATAGACTAGACTATAGACTAGACTATAGACTAGACTATAGACTAGACTATAGACTAGACTATAGACTAGACTATAGACTAGACTATAGACTAGACTATAGACTAGACTATAGACTAGACTATAGACTAGACTATAGACTAGACTATAGACTAGACTATAGACTAGACTATAGACTAGACTATAGACTAGACTATAGACTAGACTATAGACTAGACTATAGACTAGACTATAGACTAGACTATAGACTAGACTATAGACTAGACTAGACTAGACTAGACTAGACTAGACCAGACTAGACCAGACTAGACTAGACTAGACTAGACTAGACTAGACTAGACTAGACTAGACTAGACTATAGACTAGACTATATGCTAGCCTATGGACTAGACTATAGACTAGACGATAGACTAGACTATAGACTAGACTATAGACTAGACTACAGGCTAGGCTAGACTATAGGCTAGACTAGACTATAGACTAAACTAGACTAGACTAATTTGTTGTGTCATATTTTATACAAGGATCTCTAAATATTTCGATATTCGCTAAAATCTACTCGATTACTTTTCTCTGTTTTGTTTAAAAAAATACAAATAACCATTTTTAATTTCAAATTTTACACTACAGTGACCCTCACCTAAATACGTAGTGATGGTGATGATGATAATGTTATTTCTAATGCTGGTATCTGCTACTGATGATAATAATAAAATGAACACAAAGAATAAAACCAGATAAAAAAAAACATAAACAATTTTTTTACTTTTTATTTAATTAAACTTAATCAAACCAATAACTGACATTCGCACAATATAAATATTTATTTCTTTTGTGAAATGAGAATGTGAATGAGTAGTCAACACAAATGAAAGGTAATGATGATAATAACGATGATGGTGGTGGTGGTGGTGATCTTTTTTTGTAGGCTAGAGAGTGAATTTGTGTATGAATGGTTGGCGGACCGTATAAATGAATGAAATAAAAAAAATATAGATGTGCAACTAAAAAGGAAGGTGTTAAACTGAAATTAAATATAGTATTATTTATTTTTAAACAAAAAACAACAACACTACAATACAATATCAAGTTTAAATAAACAATTCCAAAATATATATTATGGTGATGATCATCATATGCTGGTGATGCTGCTACGGCTGTACTGTTGATGATAAATTTTTAAGCAAGATATTTGTTCGTTGGCATTATTAGCATTTTAGTTTTGCTTTTTATTTGTTTTTGTGAATTCCATAGAATTTGTACAATTTGAAAATGTATTCAGTACGGGGACATCGATCGTTGTGCATAAACATTTTAACAACAACGTTACGTGTTAGATTTTTAAGTTTTTATATAAATTTTCTTTAATTTTTTTTTTTTTGCAATTTTTCTGGATTAAAGAAACGCTAGTGATTTTTTAAAAATTTTAGAAATTTTTTAAAGAAAAGTTTTCAAGTAGTTTTAGTGCTTTTTTATGACAAAATGGCCAAACTGTTGACCTATATTTTCATAGTCGGTTCTATTATCTTGTGGTACTTCCTGTTATTTGGCTACGGTGGCGATAAGGTTGGTGGCAGTGAAGGTGGTGGTGGCGGCGGTGTTATTCCGGGAGTAGCTGCCACAAATGGTCATGGAAACCCATTGGAAGGTCGTGATTATCATCATATGGAAAGGGCGGGTCATATCAAAAGTGAGTATAAGAGTTTTCAAATGAAAAAGGAAGGAAATATTAATAAGATCTAAATAATTTTAAAATTCTTATAAAATTGATCTATAACACAAAATGTTACTATATTGCCCCATAGCAGGGAGATTTGGAAAAGCACCCTTTATATCACATCAAGTTTTTCCGTTTTCTTTTCAGAAAACATCTTTAAAACGTTCTATATAGTCACAGTATAAGAGTTTATGTTAAGTATAAGAGTTCATACTCTTACTCCAGTAATAATTCTAAGTATAAGAGTTCTTATTTGAAGTATAGCTCTACAAAACTTAAATAAAAGAATTTGAAATCGTAGCATACATAATAATAATGAAAATCAAACTCTTATACACCAACTTTTATTTAACAAAAGCTATTAAAAATAAATTTTTCTTTTAAAACAACCCGTTCCATATAATTCCAAAGTTTATACTATACACATAATAACTTTCATTACGAAACTGTTATACAAAGACTTTATATAAAAACTACTATTATATACAAATACTTTTCTATTAAAAGAAACTCTTATACACAATATAATCAGAAACATTTTGTAAAGCAAACTAAGTATTATACAGAAATGTTTTTACGCACCTAGAAATTTGTTATACAGAAATGCTGTTTTTTAACTGTTATACTCCATCATTTAAATTGAAAACTCTAGGAAATATTACTTACTCTTCAAAGATATTTTGCTGACTTCTTATGTATTACCTTTTTTCCAGGAGATTTAAATCACTGCTGGCGCCGTTACGATGGCTATAATTTACAAAATACGATAGTCAATAAAAAGGAACAACTTAAAAAGCCCTACGGTATACTATGTAATTTTAAATGCACCTGGTTTTTTACAATAACGTAAGTATACTTTACTTTTTCAATTAATAACATGAAAACTGAAGCAAATTATCAGTTTTCTAATGATCGACTGACTCCTGAACTAGCACAGTCTAAACATGGACCATGCTGACAGCACCTAACTAGAAACTGTTATACAGATACAGTTTTGCATCTACTATCTATTGTCTATCCTATTCTGTACTATAGTCTAGTTTATAGTCTTTATTCCAATCTAGTCAATAGTCTGGACTAATATCAAACCTACAGTCCACGCTGTAGACTATAGTCTGGATTATAGGGTATTCTATTGACTGGTATATAGGGAAGTATATAGGGAAGTATAAAGGGAAGTCCATACTATAGGACTATAGTCTAGTATATACACTGAACTAGTTCGAAGTATAGTTAAACACATAATCTAGTGTATAGCTCTGGACTATAGTCTAGTATATAGAGTGGCTTATAGTCTAGTCTATAGACTAGGCTATTATCATGTTCATAGTTCGCAGTATAGTGAAATCTTAAGTCTAGTATATAGCCTGGACTATAGACAAATCTATATTCTGCATTATAATCTAGTCTACAGTCTATACTATAATCTAGACTATAGTCCAGACAATAGTCTGCACTATAGCATAGTCAATAGTCTTTACTATAGAATAGTACATAGGGCGGATTATAGCAAAATCTATAGTCTGAACTATACTCTATAGACTTGACTGTAAACAAGACACTATATCTATATACATACTTGTAGTCCAGTTAATAGTATAGTTTATTGCTTATTCTATAGTGTAGTCTATAGTCCAATCTATCTAGTCTATAGTCTAGTCTACAATCTGGCCTATAGTATAGTCTATAGTCTAGTCTATAGTCTAGTCTATAGTCTAGTCTATAGTCTAGTCTATAGTCTAGTCTATAGTCTAGTCTATAGTCTAGTCTATAGTCTAGTCTATAGTCTAGTCTATAGTCTAGTCTATAGTCTAGTCTATAGTCTAGTCTATAGTCTAGTCTATAGTCTAGTCTATAGTCTAGTCTATAGTCTAGTCTATAGTCTAGTCTATAGTCTAGTCTATAGTCTAGTCTATAGTCTAGTCTATAGTCTAGTCTATAGTCTAGTCTATAGTCTAGTCTATAGTCTAGTCTATAGTCTAGTCTATAGTCTAGTCTATAGTCTAGTCTATAGTCTAGTCTATAGTCTAGTCTATAGTCTAGTCTATAGTCTAGTCTATAGTCTAGTCTATAGTCTAGTCTATAGTCTAGTCTATAGTCTAGTCTATAGTCTAGTCTATAGTCTAGTCTATAGTCTAGTCTATAGTCTAGTCTATAGTCTAGTCTATAGTCTAGTCTATAGTCTAGTCTATAGTCTAGTCTATAGTCTAGTCTATAGTCTAGTCTATAGTCTAGTCTATAGTCTAGTCTATAGTCTAGTCTATAGTCTAGTCTATAGTCTAGTCTATAGTCTAGTCTATAGTATAGTCTATAGTCTAGTCCATAGTCTAGTCTATAGTCTAGTCTATAGTCTAGTCTATAGTATAGTCTATAGTCTAGTCCATAGTGTAGCGAATAACTAGGTGTCAGTATGCAATTGCAATGTTATTGTTAAAGTTTAGTTAGCATGCAAAATTCTCCGGCTCCTATCTCGTCGGCAAAAGGGTAGGGTTTTCTTTCCTTTATACTTAACTTTTCCTTGTCAGCTGCAGAATATCATTATTTTAACTTTGCATGCAAAAAACAAAAAAATAGAAATAAGAAAGAGAAGGAAGAGAAGGAAAGAAGAAGAGTATCAGAAAATCTAACCGTTGCGAGTATTGATGTTGACTCACTTGCACCCCTCCCAACCATGATCATATTATAAATTGCTCACAAAAATCATAAATATGATCCCTAAAATTCCTTAACCTTTTATAAAGATTGGCCAGAAATCAGAACACTTAAGCTGTTTAGTTACTCATTATAAATTCAAAATTTATTGTACTAAACATAATAAAAAAAAATCATCTATGTTATGAATACTAATATTCAGCTTATTAATAAAAAATATGGTTTAAACATTTTAAAGTAAAAAAAAATATAAATTAAATTAAGATTATAAAAATTTCATTGGACAAGAATCAGATGCAAATACTTTTGTTTTAAATTTATTTATTAATTTATGATAAAAAAATAAAACAACTATATAAAAAAATAAAATAAATAAAAAAAAAATTAAAAAAAAAATTGCTTCTCGCGAGAATCGAACCCGGGGTTTAGCGACTACGCGGCATACTCTTTACCCAGTCGGCTACGTAGGTCATTAATATTTTTTCGGTAAACGTTAAATTGAGTATTTGGAACATTTCAATGTGTAGGATCAAAAGAAATATGATGTATTTTTTTTTAACACATTTAAATAATAATGTTAATGATGAACCAACTTTTGGGGTGGAATAAACAAATTTACAAATAATACATTATATTTCCTATGATCACAAAAATAAAAAAAATATTTTTCTTTAACTAATAAAAAAAAGATCAAAACTGTTTGCTTCGAGACTCGAACCCGGAGTACCGCGTCTGCGCAGCGTACACTCTACTCAGTCAGCCACGTCGGCTTTGAGCAATCAATAGTTAAATAGTGACTAATGTCGACGGAATATGATGTATTCAATACAATAAGGGAAATGTAGTATAAGATTTACTACTGTTATTAACATGAATCCATATTGGCAAAGTAATTCATTTTTGCAGTGAATACATTATATTTCCTGTCAAACACAATACTTATGCAATAAAAACTATACAAAAGAATTTAGGTTCACTTACTTATTTTTCCTGTTTTCTGGATTCCAATGAAAGATCTTTCGCTGGCTCCTGGTTCAGGGACAAGAAAATTATGTCAGCTTGTAGTTAAAGGGGTTGTTTTTTTTTTGTTTTGCTTTTAATTGATAATATGTTAAAATTTCATTGCATAGTTTAAGGATCCTACTATTTTTTGTTTGTTTTTACTATTATTTATAGAAATTTGGATTTATTGTTTGATCTATTTATAGATTTAATTTTTTTTTTGCATTCCTTCTCAATCGTTTTTATTATTTTTTTTTTTTATTGATTTTATTTTTTTTTCTGATTCTTTCTTATTGATTTTATATTATTTTTTCCTCGATTCTTTCTTACTTATTTTTTTTCTTGTTTTAGTTTTAGTTTCGTTTTAACAAATATAGCACTGGTTGCACTGATTCTTGTTCAAACCAAAATAGAATATTAAATAATAATAATTGATATTAACAAAAAAATAATTAATAGATTTCAGTATACACTTTCAGAAATAAATTAAAAATCATTAGAAACAAAAATTAAAATTAGTGAAGTTAACACTGTTCTTCGGGTTTTTTTTTTTTCTTCTTCACAATTTTTCTATTTTATAATGCTGTGTTTTGGTGCTTAATATTTTCTTTTTCCACAGTTTATTTTATAGTCCAAAAATTGATGTTGAATCTTATTTTTGTTCACAAAAAAAAATTCTTTTCTACACTTTTTATAATCTTTCTTTTTGAACGTCTATTTTCGGTGCACGGGAGATAAAGTGAGTAAAATCGGCGGGCTTTCCTGGAGGTTGCCCGTGCCCTCAAGAAAATTAATATCTCTATAGACCTGGAAAGGATCGTTTCTCGTTGACCAAATATTTCACACCAAATAAGCCTTATGCCAATAAAGAGCAACACGATTTTCAATAAAGCTAAATTTAAAATCAAATTAAAATCGTAAATAAAATAAAAGAAATTCCTGCGGTTATAGTTTACCTTTGCTTTGTCTTGGCTTTTGGTTATGAAAATCACAAGAGTTCGAAAAGTTATGTTATCACCAGTTTTGCAAAAAAAAAGTAAAGTCCTTTGTTCTAAAGAACCAAAAGGATATTAAGGATACCAAAAATTCAGGATATATAAGGATTTACTTTTTTTCCAAATGAACCAGAGTATCGTCTTATTTTCAAAAAGAACTATTTTAACCAAGATAAGCCTATTTATACCCAACAAAATTGGAATTTTTACGCTATTTCAGCACATTCCTTTCCTACCAAAAACAAAAATACTTATTTACAACCACTAATGTAAAAATTCTATTGCAATTTTGCATGTATTTAATTCGGAGAAACTACTAATGAATTACAACCCTTTGTCCACTGCATTAACAACTGCAAACCAGAGTTCACTGATGTCATACCATTGATAAAAGTATTGGTAAATATGTCAATGTCATTCGTAAGTCCTAATGTCATCATCATACCATCATTATATATAGATCTCAATCTCTTTTCCCTTTTCTTTTAGACAATAAATATGCAGTACAATTATGGATAACCAAAACCTATGTCATTATAAATATATGCATACTTAGAATATAAACACATAAATGTACATATAAATATATACGCAAATATATACATATACATATACATATCCATATACATATACATATACATATACATATACATATACATATACATATACATATACATATACATATACATATACATATACATATACATATACATATACATATACATATACATATACATATACATATACATATACATATACATATACATATACACCGATAATTCAGAATTTTTCGATTATGGATATCTTCCTGAAGTATAGGTGTTAAATTAACCAAGAGAACAATAAAAGATGATATTTTACTAAAGAGAATTTTGTATAAAATATATATAATAGTTTAACGCCAGTAACATGTTTCTTTTTTTTTTTTTAATAATGAACGAAATGATAAAACTTATGTCTGGCAATTTCAAACAGACCTAATGAAATTTTTTTTATATTAGTAAATTGACTAGAACATTCTTTCCACGAGCGCTCTACATTTACCCCCCCTCAAGATCAGATTTGGGTCTTATAAGAACCAAAGCTGATCCCGCTCGTAGCATAAGGATCTGTTAGTGTGGTGGAAGATGATTTACGGCCTTATATCCTTTGCATGATAAACTCCAATCAACTTCCCACTGAGGTCTTCTAGTTGAT